GTTGGAATTGGAACCCAGGGACTCTAGCTCACAGTCCCTCAGCCCTGTGCCAACCATGGCAACACCCATGGCCATTTGGGGCTAGGGAAGTGGGGGCCCCACTATGAGCTCTGGCCCAAGCAAGGAGACCCAGGCAGGATTTGTGGCCTAAAGGGCTCCTCTTTGCCAAACCCTTACCCCATAGGGTACCCTGCCTCCTACTACAGAAAAAGAAGAGAGGGGTGCAGTTGGGAGGCTGGGGAAGTCCCTTTCACACACCCTTGGGTCCATAAAGTGGAGGTCTTGGAAAGCAACTGATTATCCTGCCCTTGACCTCTGGTCCTCTGGTTTACTTCCCCCCACCTCCTGGATACCTTGCTCTCTCTATCCAGCCTCAGTGGTCAGTTTGCTTCTCTAGCCTCCCTCCTGATCTCTGGCCAGACTTTTTACAGCTGTCTTGCCTTCCTTTCTCTCCTCCATACAATGTTTGTTGTCAACATCTTATCAAACCTTGCCAGCACTGGCGGGGGCCTCAGAGCTTGCTCTGTCCAAATTCTTGTGGCACAGGTGGAGACACCGAGGCCCAGGGTCACTTGGGTCATTGCTTGTCCAAGGTCACACATCAGAATTAGCAACAAGCCAGTACTAAGGCTTTTGACTCCTAAGTTCTTATTTTTCTCTTGTCCTTTGATCTGGCTATTACGGTTCAGTCTTTGTCCTCAGACTAGTAGAGCTCTTACAAGATTTACTCAGTTCAGATTTTGCCTTCAAAGTCATGCATGAAGCTGCTTCATGGTTGGACGAGACTGGGACTGGCTACAGAATCTATGAGCCAACGGCTAGGAGCTGGGAGGGAGACCAGGCTCCAGGAGACAAAGCAAACCAGATCTGGGCCTTAGATCAGCTTTGGGGCCATTGCTGCTCAACGTCTTTCCTCTATACCCGCCCTCTCCCCCAACAGTCCATGTCCAGGGTGATGATCAGAGAGGCATAGTTCCTAAACCCCTGCTTACACACATACACACACACTCAAAGAGAAAGACACGGACACATACAAGCACACATACACAGCTCTCTGGATGAGGGTCTGACTGCTCACTGTGGGATCATTACCACATGAGGCTTCTTCCTCTGAGTGCAGGAACATGTCTCCTCCCTTGTGTTCTCCCAGTGCCCAACCTAAAGCCTCCCATGAATAGGAACTTAAAGAGGGTGTATGGGAAGAGTGAGCTGACACTGGTACTGGAGGCCATGAGGCCAGGCCTCCATCTCTAGGTCCTGGAATGGGGCAGGAAGCCCAGCCCAGGCTGGATGAGCCCGTCACACAAAGTGGGTCCTAGCAGGTCTTGCTGTGGTTCCTAGTATACCCCTCCCCATCTTCTGCCTCCAACTGATGTGGTCCATGGACCAGCAGCATCAATATCACCTGGGAGGTTTTAGAAATACACTCACAGGCCTCACCTCAGATCACAAACTTGGTGTGGGGCCCAGCAATTAGCCCTCCAGGGAATTCTAAGGCATGATAAAGCTGTAGAACCGCTGCCTGTGACAATAGGCAGACTCCTGCTGGCAGGGAGGCTGCTGAAGTCCAGAAACACAGGCAGCTGCTTACGCCACCTACAGGTAAGTCTGGTCATGTGCTGGAGGGCCCCATAACTGAAGGCAGACACATGCACACGCGCACAAACATGAGCGTCTGGCAAGGTCTCAGAGTCTATCTGCAGTGGCTCTGGGGTCCAGTGGACATAGACAGGCACCCAGGTGGAAGTAGGTAGGGGCAGGGAAGAACTGTTCTCATCAGGCGACATCCTGTGTCCCATAATTCCTTTGTCCTTTTCCCTTGAGGGAGTGGGAGAAGCTGAGTAGTCACCCAGCTCAGACCAGGCACCCTCAGTTGAGAGAGCAGATGATCTGTATGCCTAAGAGAGTTTGGAGTATGTGCTAACACCAGCAAAGTTCTTTCTCTGCATGGGCGGGCCAGGGCCAGGGGAATGTGGGGATCAGCAAGCAAAGCTTAGGCAAAAGCACACCACCCCCTGAGCTATGAAATGCTGTCCAGATGTAGAATAGCCCTTGGCCCTTTCCCAGGGCTGCTCCCAGTGCCCACCTTACCTCCTCTTGCGTCTTTCTGCTCTGGCCTGTGGAGCCCCAAGGAGCTCCCCACCTGGCCCCTCCCCAGGCCCTGCAAGTGAAATCCCAGCCTCTGGGGAGCTCCTCCGGGGGATGTGGGGAGGGGATGGGGAGGCTGAGCTTCCCCATGCTCAGATCTGGTTTCTTTGCGCTTCCTCTGGCGCACTGCCACAGGCTGAGCCACCAGCTGTGCTATATAAGGCCTGGCGGCTAGACGCTGGAGAGAGGAAGACTTGAACCCCCCAGCTGAGGAGTTCTGCTCAGGCCCCGGTAAGCTCCACTCCCATTTTCCTCACGCTATGCTTGCACCCCACAGCCCCACTCAGCTCTTCCCGCCCTCCCCTGATCACCCTGCATCTCCCCCAGGGAAGGTCCCCCCACTTCCCTCCACCCCGTTTCTGCCTTGAAGTTCTCTCTTTTCTCCCATTGGTCCAAAGTCGTCCCCCTCCTTCACCTGAGGTCGGGGGCTCTCAAATGGTCCCAGTCAGGGTCTGTTCCTCTGGGTGCCTGCTTTTTTCTTGTGGTCAGCCAGTCTGCTTTGTCCGAGAGTTCTGAGGAGCATGGAATGAGGAGCCTAACTAACACAGCATATGCTGAGGAAACTTCTGAGGGCTGCCAGATGGGAAATGATTTTTCCACAAGGTGCCTCAGCCACCTTGGCCTCCCAGACAGTCCTAGAACAGTCTTCAACTGAATGCTGAGCAGCATTCAGCTCCCTGCTCAGAGCCTAGGAGCCTGGGGTAAGACACACAGTGGGGATCTTGGGGACCCCATGCCTCTGTTCTCTTGGCTGAGAAACAGGTGGGAGAGGGGGTTAGCAGGCTTAGAGCTAGAGGATCCGCAATGTGGGACTGGTTTGTTCTTCTCTGGGACAGCCAAGTGCTTTTGGATCTTTTGTTCTGGAAAGCAGGAATCTCCCCTTTCCCACCACACCCTGGACTTTGGTCATTAAAGGGAGCCACTTCTGAATCTCCAGGAACTGGTCAGATTCTGGGTTGGCCAGAACTCTGGGGAGAGATAAAAATGAGTTGGAAGGAGCCTGGGCCACACCCCATGGATATTTGCCCTTATTGCAGTGCCTGCTTTCCTCTCCCCGCTCCTAGAGCCCCTAACCCATCCTTAGCAGTTATTGGGGAGCCCTGGCTTCTCACAGTGTGTTCCCCTCTGCTCTCCTTCAGTGAGCTCCTGGCTGTGTAACTCCCAGCCAGGCCCCAACAAGCAGGCCAGAAATGTGTTTCAGCTGCAGCCTGTGCACATCTGGGAATGTGTTCATGGAGGTCGTGTGTCTGAAGCATCTGCGCCCTCCAGCTTGCCTGTCCTATGTGGGGTCACTGTAGTCAGGGCTGGGCTGCACAGTCTTAACGTAGTCCCTTTGTGCAAGAGTGTGAGCCCCACCAAAGGTAGCAAAACATGCCCCCAAGCCCAGGTCTTGGAAGTGATGAATGAGTCATCCAGAGGCTGCTGGGAGTAAGCCTGGGGCCCTCGTCATTGGCAAGGCACCTCCTCACCCCTGCTCTCCCTCGTGCCCCATCTTGATATGGGGTCCTGGTGCCTGGTCCCAGGATCTGAACCCAGGTCTGCCTTATTTGAACTCAAATTCTGAGCCTCTGCACCTCTCAAGCTGCCCAGATTCACAACTTGGGCAGGTGTTACCTCCCACAAGACTATTCTGTCTACCCTTCCACCCTGGATAGGTCAAGAAATAGTTCTGTTCTAGCCGTAAGAGATGACACAGAAATGTGGAGCTTGATAAGCATTTTTTTTCTTTGCAGGTGACTGTATCTGAGAAACTTCCCAGGGGACTACGTTCCAAGGAGGACCTAACTTTGAAGCACTCTCACCCATCTCCTCACCCATATTCCCCACAGGGCCTGAGGGAAAGATGGTGGGGACCAAGGCCTGGGTGTTCTTCTTCCTGCTCCTGGAAGTTACCTCCGTGTTGGGTACGGGCTAAGTATCTGCTCTCTCCCAAGCCTCTACTTCCCATTGTGAAGTCATATCTGGTCTGGGACATAACTGTTTATCTGCCATAAGCTTCAGCAAGGGCCTTAAGACCTCAGGCTGGTTTATAGACTTATTAATAATTTATACACTGCTTGTTTCCCCCAAAGAATTTGAGATAGTTCCCAATATTAAAACTCACAGAACAGAATCTTTTAAATGAGGAGAGGGATTAGCTGTCACTCAAAAGGAGGGAAAAAGATAAAAGGGTTATCACTGCTGAGTGCTAAATTTAGCTCTGAGATTCCTGGCAGTCAAAGCAAAAGGGAATCACAAGGGATCACTGGGGCCTCAGAAGCAGGTTTGGGAGTTGGTCTGGTTTTAGTTTCATAAAAATTCTTCTGGCCTGAAGCTCAATTTCATTTAGACCCTGCAGCCAAATTTCACAGACACCAGAACCCCACCCTCTGGTGACATGGAGTTCTTTTTTTTGATTTATTTATTTTTTTACTGTTTATTTAGTTTTGAGAGAGAGAGGGAGAGACAGAGCGCAAGCAGGAGAGGGGCAGAGAGAGAATCCAAAGCAGGCTCCAGGCTCTGAGCTGTCATCACAGAGCCAACGCAGGGCTCAGACTCACGAACTGTGAGATCATGACCTGGGCCAAAGTCAGACGCTTAACCCACTGAGCCACCCAGGCACCCTGACACTGAGTTCTTGAAGGGACAGGTAGAGGGAATTTGCCTGGTGCATCTAAGCATCAGGGCTCCCAGCACTGCCCTGTGTGTTCTCTCCCATCTCCCCTTCCTCTCCTGATTTCTAACCACATACTCAAGTAAGGCAAACAATGTTCAAAGCCCTCTTGTAAAGCTGCATGCACTGCAGCCTTTGTGAGTACCTGTGTGGGAACAAAGGCTGTCTCCGCATCTTGCCGAAACTTGTGTGTACCTACCTCCCACCTTGCTCTTTCCACCCTGACGGCTTCTGTTTGTGAAGATGATTAACATTCAGCCATCTGAGGGGAAATCAGATTAGTTTGATTAAAAGTGCTCCTATCACTCCAATTAAGCAGCATACAGAATTCTGATTTGGCTCCTCACATGAGAAGTTAATTGCCTTTTAAAGCTGGTGCTGCCTTCTGTTCTCCTCCTTCCCCTTCTGGAGACCCCAGATGGGGTGGAACTGGAAGTTGCTTATGGCCTGAAGACCCTCGACCCATCCTTAGGAGTTGCTAACACTTATTGGGCAAACACTACGCTAAGCATTGTCCTAAGTGGATTTTATGAATGAGCTTATTTAATCTCCACAATCCTCTGAGGCAAGAACTATTATTATCTTCATTTTATGATGAGGGAACAGGGGTCAAATGAGTTAAGCATCTGGCTCAAGGTCAAGCAGGAAGTGGCAGAGCCTCTGGAGCTCACACTCTCAACCTCTGTATAGTTCAGAGATGTTTACTTGTATTACCTCTTGAAATTCTCATGCCAGCTGGACCATCACTCTCCGAGATGGGAACTAATATCTCCATTTTATAGATGAGGAAAATAAGGCTCCATTCTGCCAAAAAGGACAGGCCCAGATCGTAACGCAGGAGTCCTGGCCCGCTGGCTGCTTAGCAGCATCCAATGATCCATTTCTGGAACAAGAGCAAAAAGACAGCCATCATTTGCTGAGCATACACTACATGCCAGGTCTCTTTATATTCATTATCACCCCGAATATGCATCAGAACCCTATGATGTAGCAGCTGTTAATGCAGCTCTGTGTTATGGGAAACACAACTAGAAGACTAAAGCTTTTGTGAGGTTGCATAGCCAGTTAGTGGCAGGGTGGAGATTTGAACCCATGTTCAGCATTCATGCTCCATCCACCACATCACTTGCTTCTCTGCATCTTGAGAGGCTGGTAGCAGGACCCTGCTGGGCCCTTGTAACTAACAGTCCTGGCCTCTTCTTTCCCTCAGGGAGGCAGATGATGCTCACTCAGTCGGTAAGAAGAGTCCAGCCCGGGAAGAGGATCTCCAGCCTCTTTGCCAAGCCTGGTGACTCCCTGGAAAGTGAGTTGTGGATGGAGCAGGGAGGATCAAGAGAGGGGGTCTTTACTGAGCTTGCTGGGAAGATCTTTGAAGCCAGGGCACAATGTCATGGTTTCCATGGAAACCCACTTTTATAAGATGTTTGGCCTACATCTCTGTTCAGGCAGAGAGACCTAGTATATAGGAGGATAGCTTAGAATGTGAAGCTGCCTGACATATTCAGGAATGCTATAGAGCTTGCTGGGGCCAGAGCATAGGCTGGAGGGGAGACAGGGTGGGAGATGAGGATGGAGAGATAAGAGCTGGAGGGCCAGTTCACCAGCACCCTGAATGCCTGGCTAAGGGATTTAAGCCTGGGGAGTGGTGTGATCCAAGCCACCTGGAGAAAGCTCACCCTGACTGCAGTGTTGGGGAGGGGTGGGGATGAGTGGAGGGGGAACTTGGAGGTAGAGAGACCAGGTAGGGAGTTGCTAACATGGTATAGCCAGGCTGCTGAGAGTGTTAATGGAGTGGCAGGTGCAGAAGGTTAAAAGACTGGAGAGATAGATACAATAGGGCCTGAGACTTATCGGGGGTGGATGAGAGATATCATGAGTGATTTCCAGGAGTTAAGCAGGAAGTAGGATGGAGCTCACCTGGGCCTCTGGGGCCTGGCTGCTCTCTGACCTGACTCTCTCTCTCAGGTCCTGGTGAGTGGACAACATGGTTCAACATTGACCACCCAGGCGGGCAGGGTGACTATGAGCGGCTGGATGCCATTCGCTTCTACTATGGGGACCGTGTGTGTGCTCGGCCCCTGCGGCTAGAGGCTCGGACCACTGACTGGATGCCTGCAGGCAGCACTGGCCAGGTGGTCCATGGCAGTTCCCGTGAGGGCTTCTGGTGTCTCAACAGGGAGCAGAGGCCCGGCCAGAATTGCTCCAATTATACCGTGCGCTTCCTCTGCCCCCCAGGTGAGCCTGGACAGTCCCCCACCCACAACCTCCCAGCAGCCTCGGCACAGGGAGAGGCCACGATTGGCATGTGGCCATGGGAACTCTGGATATCACACACACGCACAGGCTTCAGCTCCCTCAGAATAATGCATTAGGGTCAAGAGAGCCATAATCTTCCCTAGAGTGTTCTGTGGTAATGGATACTTCCCATTCAGCCCACTTATTGAATGTGTGTGGCAAGGTGGTGAAGACCACAGGCTCTGGAGTTGGGTTTCATGGGTTAGAATCTTGGGTCTACCATCTGAACTGTGTTCCTTAGGCAAATTTTCTGAAGCTCTCTGAGACTCAGGTTTTCCGCCAATAGAACAGGGGTAATATTAGTAATTATTAGTAAATCATGATGTGGGATTTTATGAGGATTAAATAAGATAATGAATGTAGAGGGTTTAACCCAGGTGAACGTTCACTAAGTGTTAGTTTCTATTATAACTCCTATGTGCCAGACACTGGGCTGGTTATCTACTAGTGACAACTGACCTGTGAGGAATCTCCATTTTGGCAAGTTACCCCGGATTCAGAGAGGTTAGGTAGCTTCTCACGATTACACAGCTAATAGGTAGAGAGCTGGGATTTGAACCCATGTCTGTGTTTGCAGAGTCCAAGAGTTCCTGCTCCACATCCTCCCTCTCCACACAGGATTATACAGAGCCATCTGCAAGGCTGCCCAGTTCTCAGATAGCCACCCTCCCTTCCTGGGACTCTGCCAGTGCACACAGCCTAACCCTGCAGGCCTAAGTGGGAGTGATGGTCATCCAGACGGGGAGCTCAGGCTGGGCAAGGTCTCCTAGACAAGGTCTGAGGTCCCCATTCTTGCACACAGGCCTCAGAGCAGAAGTGAGGAGGGAACTTGATATCTGAGTCACTGAGGTCCCAGGCCCTGGCTTCCAGGGACTTCACAGGGAGTGCGTCCATAGGAACATATGGCTGTTTCCACACTGGTAGAGAGGGAAAATGGTGCTATCCCTGTATATCCTAGGACTGCATACTCAAGTCCCAGTGCTTGGCCAAAAAGTCCCTCTCAGAGCCATGCCTAGTCCATATGGTACCTTTGTGCAAATTAGAGACACCATTTCCTCAAGACTCTTGACTTCCATCTGTTGGAAAAGTCACTGCAGTAAATATAAATATCAATGACATGTATGATATAAGCAGAGCCGCTGTCTCTCCGAGAAAAACAGCCTCAGGGTCAGATTTCCTGACAGAGCCCCTTGGGAGGGAAGTCAGACCGTCTGCTGATCCTGCTTTGCAGGGTCCCTGCGCAGAGACACAGAGCGCATCTGGAGCCCATGGTCTCCCTGGAGCAAGTGTTCTGCTGCTTGTGGTCACACTGGAGTCCAGACCCGAACACGCACCTGCCTGGCGGAGACAGTGTCATTGTGCACTGAGGCCTCTGAGGAGGGCCGGCTCTGCATGGACCAGGCCTGTACAGGTACTGCTCTAGCTCCTGGTACTAGAAAGACATGCCACTGAGGCTAAAGTAGTCTAGGAGGACAGGTCAGAGGGTCAGACTGAAACAGATTCATTCATTCACTCAAGTATTAAATGAGTATCTATATAATGTACTCTGTAGGGGGATGCAGGGGATAATGTGGGAGCACAGCACAGGGTCAATTATAGCTTAGGAAAACCAAGGATGGCTTCCTGGAGGAGGTGTCCTGGGGTAAGTCTTGAAGGATGAGTAGAAATTAGTCACTCAAGCTGATACGGAAAGGTAACAAAGACCTAAGGAGAAGGGGAAGCATATGTGAGTCCACAGGCTGATATGTGCCTGAAGGAGGGCCAGAGTCCATATAAGCCCTCCTGATGTGGCCCCTTCTTTTACAGCCTGTGATATGACCTGCCCCATGGGCCAGGTGAATGCCGACTGCGATGCCTGCATGTGCCAGGACTTCCTGCTACACGGAACTGTCTCCCTACCTGGGGGTGCCCCAGCATCAGGGGCCACTGTCTACCTGCTGACCAAGACACCTAAGCCACTGACCAAGACAGACAGCAGTGGGGGGTTCCGAGTCCCTGGCGTGTGCCCTGATGGCAAAAGCATTCTGAAGATCACAAAGGCCAAGTTTGCCCCCATCATGCTCACGATGCCCAAGACCAGCCTAAAGGCAGCCACTGTCAATGCAGAGTTCATGAGGGCAGGTACTGTTCTCCAGGGAAGGGCTGGATGGGAAGGCTGGACTTTTTTTTTTTTTTTAACATTTATTTATTTTTGAGAGACAGAGAGAGACAGAGCATGAGTGGGGGAGGGGCAGAGAGGGAGACACAGAATCTGAAGCAGGCTCCAGGCTCCGAGCTGTCAGCACAGAGCCTGATGCGAGACTTGAACTCACAAAACGTGAGATCATGACCTGAGCCGAAGTCAGATGCTTAACCGACTGAGCCACCCAGGCACCCTGGACTTTTAAATAAAGGGATCGTAGTGCTAAGATCTGGCTTCCCATCTTACAGAGTAAAATTCCAAATCCTTACCATGACCCACAAGGATCTACATCATCTGGCTCCCCCACTACTTCTCTGCTCTTCTTCCATTATTCTCCCTTCCACCCCCACAGAGTTATTCTACTCCAACCCTGCCTCAGGGCCTTTGCACTTGCTATATACTCTGCTTGCAGAATTGTTCCCACAGATGTTGACATGGCTTGCTCCCTCAAATGTGTGAGTTCTTCCCTGGCCACGTTATCTAAAGATGGCCAGAAAATTCTGCTGGAGGCAGCAGAATGGGAGTATTGCACTATTCAAAACAGCCAGCTCTGTCCCAACAGAAGTGCTTGGGAAGCTTGGTTCACACAAGGTCCCCTTGATTCTTTACTGCCCCACCCAAATGCTGCTTGAAAGGCCACAGAAGCTGGTCCTAGGCCAAAGGGGTGGACTCCATTCTGGACCAGTTCCCTTAGAGAGGAGCTGGGGGTGGGAGTAGGGATAAAGTCATACAATTTTAACACATGACAAAGAACTTGAGGGGCGAGGCTCTAGACAGTCAGCCACAAAGAAAAAAACCAAATCACCATTTCTTGTCTTCTCTCCCAGAGACTCCATACATCGTGATGAACCCCGAAACAAAGGCACGGAGAGCTGGGCAGAGCGTGTCCTTGTGCTGTAAGGCCACAGGGAAGCCCAGTCCAGACAAGTATTTCTGGTGAGTGTTCTGCCAACTACCTTACCCAAGTTTTTTCTTGGAAACCAGATCTTTCTTGCATTGGGTCTGGACTTATCAATTGTAATAATAATGAATAGAATAGAGTTATTAGTAAGGCCCTGGAACAGAGCCCATAAATCGGCATTTGCAAGTGGGAGCCAGCAAAGTTGAGGCCTCCCGGACAACCAGGAAGCCCTGTTATTACCCTCTTGAAGCTGGGATCCCCACAGAGCAGCTCTGGACTCAGGGTTCTGACTTGCATATCCTTGGGACACAAACAAAGTTCCCCAGCTTTGCTTCCCTTGACCAAAGCACACAAGGTCAGAGTCCCCAGTGGCTGTGAGTCCCTTATACCCTTCACAGATATTTTACAGCCATTATCTTGTCTGATGCTCCCAACAGTTGTGTGAAGTCAGCTAGGGATCACCATCCCCATTTTACAGACCAGGAGGTTGAAGCTCTGAGAGATG